GAAGAAGAAGAAGAAGAAGAAGAAGAAGAAGAAGAAGAAGAAGAAGAAGAAGAGAAAATTGGACATGCTGGTTCAAAATTTATTCCCATTTTTTAAAAACCCTGCCCATTTCTTTCGACTGTTCAACTCTGTCAAGGTCAATATAGACTATGTTGACATGAAAGACGGAGATATTCGATAAAATGTCTTCCCAATATTGGAATCAAACTTGTCTTTTATTTGCATGGTAAAGAGTCTTGTCATTACACTGCACACATGGACGTGGTGCAATTTGAAGGAGAAAAGAAACAATAAAATGCATTAACAACCGATAAAATAATGAAACTAAAACAAACATCGCTCTTAGACACTTGCCTCGCCTAGCTCCCGAGATTTAGAAAAGAACCCCCCCCCCACCAAATAGACAAAGAACAAAAACAAAACGAAGACACACAAAAAATAAAGAAAACCCCCCCACCTGACCATACACACCGAGAAAAGTAAAGTTGATCATAACAGTAATAGGCCTACATGTCGTCGCCCTCATCCATCGCTGTCGTATGTCAAAACACGAGGTTTTCAGGAGAAGCAAAACACTTTTTTTGTATTTCGCCAAGAATAACATATTAAAACAAATAAATGTTCAGTTTGTCTAAATCCATGAAAACTTTCGAAAAAGGAACGAGACTAGGACCAATCCATGAGCCTAATCAAACTCTACAACATATTTGATTTTAATTCTTTAATCATTTTGACACTCTGCAAGGTTAAATGACTGCGACGATGTCTAACAGTTGAAACCACTTCTCACTTTTACGCAAAGATTTACTTTAACAAGTGCCCCCCCCCTTCCAAAAAAAAAAGAAAGAAAAAGAAGTAATAATAATGTGAATCATGAGCGCATTTTATTGATGAAAAACAAAAGAGAGCAATACAACAATAGAATGATGTGTAATGCAACATAATCATCTCTGAGGGGGATGTGAAATGGTATCGAAGTTGGTGAACCCCCCAGCCCCCCCCCCCCCAAATTAAAAAAAAATAATATGGAGATGGGAAGGCCAGAGTGTGACGTAAATGGCGAACAGTCAGAGCGTTTTGGTCGAACTACAGCCGAATCTGTGTAAGACGGCCAATCCTTGTCGAGGAGAAAAACATCCGTCTTAGACAGGTGGCCGTCTTACACAATGTCATTATAATGTAAACAAATACACAAAATTAAGGAAGGATGGGAAGGGGCCATTCGTACAACTGATTGTCTTATACAGGTGGTCAACAGAGCCAGTTCGATTGAACTTGAAAATCCCACCCTTAAGAAGAAGAACGTTTCAGTCACTCAGGTCTCAGGTTTCTGATCTTACATCTTTTTACCGGCGTCTGTGGTATAGCGCTTAGATATTTCACCGTCGCACTCAGGAGACCGGAGTTCGATTTGCAAGAGGGAAGAAATTTTTATCGAGTAGGCCTACCTGTTTGCTGGGATCTTTTGTCCCCCCCCCCCCCCCCCCATTTCAGCCCGGGTCAGCCCTGACAGGCAGAGTCGAAGTCCGCCTTCTGATTGATTTAAATTGTGTCAATGGGGGTGTAAAACACCTTATAATGATTAACCCTATCCGTACGTCGTATTTTACTATCGTATCCATACGACGAGGGGAACTCTGTGCCACTACTTTCCAGAGAAGAAATTTTTTGGTGGTTGGTGGGTGTTCTGGTGTGGTTTGCTCCTTCTTTCCTATCAAACATCTATCATCCTTAACTCCCGTTTTTCTTTTCAATGTTTGTTACTCTCTTGTAACACCTCTAATCTTCTGGCGCTCATATGACCTTATGCAGTTGCGAGCGTCGTAAAACCTCTACTAAAACTAAAAACTAGAGAGAAGAAATTTACTCGTTAATCCGATGCGTGCGCTTTGCACAGCAGTCTGTAAAAAGAATTATTAGAGAAATGTTGACAGTTTCAAAGAGATATTCGTACTAGAAGTATTCTAAAATGTGAAGAATACAACCCCAGGGGTACAAAACGACTCAGGGCGTACGGTTAGGGTTAAATATTAGCTTTACAGAAACAGCACTTTTTTCATCTGTGCGAGTTCCCGTTATTACAGTGCTTCCTCCCAAATCCCCCACCCCCCCCTCCAGAAAACACCCATTAAAAGAACAAAAGAAACATACAAATAAAACAAAACAAACAAAGAACCAGAAAAACTAACGAACGAACAAACAAACAGATAAACAACCCCCCCACCAAACAAACGAACAAACACAAACAAACCAAAAACAAGTGAAAAAAGAAAGAAAAAGAAGCTACCAGCCCGACAGCCTAACTACTAGGCCACCGACGCTATAGGTCGGCATACACCCATACCACAACGAATTTAGATCATTCTGGAGACGGGCTGCTTCGACCCTGCCTGTCAGGGTCAACCCGGGCTGAGAGAGATATAAAGTCCCAACACAGAGATTTATATACTCGATAAAAATTGTCCTCACACGAAAATCTAACTCATGTTTTCTGTGAGTGACGATAAAGGACCTTACTCATACTGCTGCACCACAGACGCAGGTAAGTCAGTTTCAAAAGTTTGCAATACGCCAGACACAACCCAAGTGTTAAGGATACTTACTGCATAGAGCGCAAACTGTTGGATGGTCTATTCATGGAGTCAACTTTTAGGCCTTATATTTTGCTTGCTTGCAACAACAACAACAACAACAACACAACAAAAATAACAACAACAACAGCAACAAAAACAAGAAGCCTCACTCAAAGTCACACTCGAACCCCCCCACCCAACAACCCCCCCCCCAGAAAAAACAGTAACCAAAAATAATCAAAACAACCAAACAACCCCCCCCCCCCAACAACCTCCACAAATTAACAACAACCCAAAAACAAAGAAACAAACAAAAAACAAACACACCTAACAACAAATAAACAAACTGATGAACTGTTGGATGGTCCATTTAAGCCAATGCTTAATAATGATAATAATGATAATAATAATATTTTGCTTGATATAACGCCCCCCCCCCCAAAAAAAAAGAAGAAAAAAAAGAAAAAAGAGAAACTGTTGGATGGATCATTAGAGTCAACAGTTTTGCATCATATTTTGGTTGCAAAACAACAGACAGTTGCATATAAACAGAGAAACAAACAGGTATACCCTGTACAGTGTACAACAGGAAAATGGGCAACAATCGAGGAGTGGAAGAGGTAAGACGATGGAAAGAAGGAGAAAATGTCTGCAAATGTGATTCTTAATGTAATATTTTAAAACCTTTCTGACTGTGAACTTTACCGGTGGAGGTAAAACACATTATTCTCATCAAGAATGGTAGAGCAAAATCTCAGTTTAAAACAAAAGTACCGTGGCAACTCTCAGCTGAATGTATAGAAGGCCTCCCTACGCCTTGACCTCACACGTTGAATGGGTGAGTCTGGTAAGATTTCTGGTGCTGGAGCGAAAAGAGTTCCTCGTCTACTTCCGTTTCCCAGACTTCTGCCGCCCGGACTAATAGCGCCGCCATTTTTGACGCTAATACTGTCACTCCCTTCTTTGTCCTCGGCGTCTTCCTCAGAGCTCGAACCGACTTTTTCCACATTTAACGAAAGTTTGGAGGAACCGAGAAACCTGTATTTTCGTTGTTTCTTGCAAAACGAATAAAGCTCTTCGAAAATGTCCACTATGTCTTCCAGGTCCTCTCTAACAGAAACTTCATTGAAACTGACACAGTTTAACTGAAGGCTGCGATTCGCACCTTCTTCCACCAACACCATACGATCTTTTTCTTTGTCCTTTTTGTTCGCCACTAGAGAAACAGGGATACTTCCGGAAAGTTCCGTATCCGGATCGCTGCCAGATCTACGTCTGCTCCTCCTCGAGTGGGCGTTGATGAGAAATTTCAGGCGACTGCACTCGATGAAGCTGCATCGATCTGTGACGTCATACATAAGGACTATGGCGTCAGCCCAACGAATGTGCTCTTTCAGTTTGCTGTTTTCGTTCTGGGGAGGAGAAAATACGATTTGATCAAGCGTAACATTACATTTCTGGTTTTCAGCGTAATTGGAGTTACTTCAATCATCATCAAATGCAAGATCTGTAACAGACATCTGGGGTTGTTTCAGGAGTCTACAAGGCTCTCCATCCACTTGGCTCGATATGATCGCAGAAAGGGCGAGGATCAAAGCCCCTCTCCTTGTCGATGGGGGCGTAACACCTGCATTAAACACATTCACACACACACATACACACACACACACACACACACACACACACACACACACACACACACACACA